GTCACCTGTGATGAAACGCTTTGTATATTTTTTTGTACTAAAGAACTTTATTTTGTCCCTTTTAAGCTCAAACAGTGATGCAGATCATCACGTAGCATACAAGGTGGTTTTACTTTGATAGTTGTGTTATATAACACACAATCAAAAAAGATTTCAAAATATAGCTTTCTTGTATTGTTGTGTGAACAATAATAATTTCCTTGTGCAAACAGGCAGAGGCCGAGTCTCTCAGCGGGACAACACTCTCACTTTTAGTAGCGCAGGGTGGAGGATTGAATACAACAATACAACCCTTCAGCTCTCAGCATGGACACCGCCATCAAACCCAGACGCTCAGGTCACAGGTCACACTGAACCAATGAGTTTCTGCTCTCACGGACCTGCTGTAGAGTTCACACTCCACTGTAACTGACAGTACCTACATGAAGTAAAAGGCAGGGGTTGCACGAGATACGGTAGAATTGATGTTTTCGGACAGTTGAAAAAACCCGAAGTAATCAAAATGTGTTTCACTGATCCACTAAGCTAAAACATTCATTCAAGCTTTTAGATGTTTACAAATCTTTTATCTCAAAAACATTATAAGACATGTTCTACTTCATCATTTTGCAAACATTGAGAGAACGATAGTTTTAAAGGGCACTTATGGTGAAAAATCTACTTTTCAAGCTATTTGGACAAACATATGTGTATATATAGTGTATATACCATCATATTGGGGTGATATAAACACACCCAGTCCTTTTTTTTTCAATTTAACAACATAAAAACGGTGGACCAATTGGATCGGTTTTCAGACCGACCGCAACTTTACATAGGAGTGCAGTCCCCCCGCCCACCGAATTGATTGACAGCTGCGCGCATTAACATGTCCCGGTAGTCACGTGTATATGTCAACAAGACCAGACATACGCAAAGCAACCGGGAATAAAAGGTCTGTTCTGTTCGCTAGGATCAGCAATCATCATCAAATGTGATTAAGAGTAAGTTTCACATGTTTAAAGTGTTGTAAAACAGTGCGCAAGTGTAATGAAGTACAGCGATTTACTTCAGCTTTACTTCATCAGCACAGCTGCGTGTCAGAACAATTACTGTATAAAAGAAGACGCTTCAATCCTGGTTATTGGACGTTAAATTAGGTTTATTTTGTACAATAACATAACAGATATCCACACAGCAGTGGAGGTTAGCCTGTATCCTGTCACATTTGAGTGCAAAAACAGTGCAAAGCTAAGCACTGTGGGGGAAACCGGAGCACCCGGAGAAAACCCATGCAAATGCAGGGAGAACATGCAAACTCCACACAGAAACGCCAACTGAGCCGAGGCTCAAACCAGCGACCCTGCAACCTTCTTGCTGTGAGGCAGCAGCACTACCTACTGCGCCACTGCTTCACCCTGAAAAAATCTTCTCTCTGTTAAACAGAAATAATACAGGGGGGCTAATAATTCTGACTGTATATATTACAAATATAAAACTATATACATTTGTATTTTTGATCTGTTTTAACCATGTTTGTAATTAGTTTATTATATTTTATGCAGCTGCACTGCATTACAAAAACCATCCCAATAAATCTAAAATTACCCATTTTTTTCAAATAAAGATATTCAAGCCTTCTGGTAAAATTGTATTCATATTACAATATATTGTGAAAGATCAAAATATCACAATGTCAGTTTTTTGGAGCCCTGATCTGATATACCTCAAATATGAATATGTTAGCTTTTGTCATTTGTATTTTTAGGGGATTTCAGTTCTTGTTTATCTGTTTGGAAATAACCATCTGGTCATTGTGACATGATTCAAATTGAATTCAGATCCTTTAAGGAGATGATTCATCCATCCTGAATGGTAATCTCTCTTGGTATCTGACGACAACAGTTGCTAATGTGCAGTGGCTGATCAGTTTTTATAAATGCCTGAATGCACTTAACTTTTGAGTTGTGAAATATCAAAGTGACAATCAAAGAACTGCTTTTGTGAGAGAATAAGTGGCAACACTTTATTTTAATAGTCCGTTTGAGTATTAGTAGACTGTCTGTGTAATATCTGTTGATACTGCTCCTTCAACAGACATTTAACTGACTATAAGAAACTTTGTAAGTACATGACAACTTACACTAACCCTAACCCTAACTTAACAGTCTACTTATAATCTAATGAGAATTAGTTGGCATGTAGATGCAATGTAACTTAAATTGAACAAATGGATCATCAAAATAAAGTGTGACCGAATAAGCAGTAAGTGCATCGTCCTCTTTTAGACGATAATGTCTTGCTCCAAAAATCTGACATGAGTAAACATGAAGACATCGGTTAAGATAGTTGGCCTTAGTCCATCAACCAGTGGCACTGAGATTACACATACAAAAACACACTAAGCCCACAGTTTCCTGAACTAATTGTGGCCCAGACAGTGAATCATTGTGCTGCAGATGGGAATCATTTACTGGGAAGTGAAACAGAGATTGATCCGAAACGCCAATAACAAAATAAAGTTCAGGAATGATGTAAATGGTGAACACATAAAGGTGAAGACCACAGCTAGCAGGTTTTACATTATTTTTTTCTATACAAGCGTAGAAAACTATAAACGCATAAAGGTTTATTAACTTGAAAACTTTAAATATGGTGACTATTTGGCATTATTGAATAACATTGTCTCTCTAAAACCAAACAAAAAGTGCTTCAGGGGTAATTATTGTGCTGGTGTTCTTTGGATAAGGGATTTATAAAGATAAACAAAAAAAAAAATCAAGGAACTTTTTCCCTCTCTTCTTTTCTTTCTCCTATTACTAATTTGATAATTACTGTTGAGCTGACTGTATTGTGTTGGATATAGGCTTGGGCGGTATCCAAATTTTTATACCATCAAACCTCCTCCCTATTCTACCTTGGTATCCGGTATGACCATTCATAATAAAAAAAAAATAATTAATGACGTAAGGCTCAGACAGCATCACCAAACTGTTGGCTTGTGCCTAAACCATTCAGAAACTGAATACCGTATATGCGACCTTAGCTTTACGGTTACCTGTTTGTCTTGTTCGTATCAGAGATCTGCGCGGGACGCTCTCTCTCATTCACATGCACACACAAACACACACACACACACACACACACACACACACACACACAAACACAGACAGAGAGACAAATTGACAGAGAGAAAGAGAGAGAGGGAGGGAGGGAGAGAGAGACGCTCTCTCTCTTTCATTCACACACACACACACACACATAGAGAGAGAGCGACACACAGCACCATGCGCTCTCTCATTCACACACATACACACACACATACACACACACACATAAACAGCATCCACGAGGATGCACACATGCTCACTCTCGGGTTTGGGAGCAATATTAGTAGACCGCGCGCCTGCTCCCTTTCAAATACACTAGAGTTACCGACCGCTCCGCTTTATTCAAAAATTTATTCACACACCGCAAGAAATTTGGTCGGATCCCCCGACTCCCGCCGTACAGCAGTGGGAATGCAGGCCTCTCGTCTCCCTTCTCGTGCGGTCAAAATAAAATACTGGCAAACTGCAGGTCACTTAGTGCGCGACTCGCCCTCTTACCTCACCTCTCTCTCTCCTCCACACTGTCCCGTGATGACAATCACGCACATACACATTTGTAGGCATTAAATAAATAATATTTATTATTAAATACTTGTTTCTTATTTAAGTGCATTGTTTTTTTAAGACGGTATTGAAACTGACACCGTTGCTATTTTTCCATCCCACGGCATACCATATTACCATATTACTGACCAAGTCTATTTGGATATATAATTTTCTGTATAGTTTAGATATTTGTGTCATATGCAATGGTGGAAAGAGTACTGAAAAATCATACTCAAGTAAAACTACCATTACTTGCCTAAAATGTAGTGCAAGTATTATAAAAGTAAAAGTAGACATTTCAAAAGAACTCAAGAGTAGTGAGTAGTGTATTACGCTGTAGCCTAAAAAGCTGATGCGTTCAAATGAAATTTGTAGATATGAGTAAACGTAACATTCTGTATATCAAGTTAGAGATCCAGCGATCTAAGGAGTTGTGATCGCTGGTGATTGTGAAATCCATTAGCCTACATATTTAATTTCGTTTGTTAAGCGCAAAGATTTGTTTCAAAACTATTTCAGTTCTAATTTCCAGCAAACTAAAACATGAACAGTAATGTTCCCCCCGAAATGAGGCATGCAGGCAGAGGTTTTTGTATTCATGTAACATTTTAATCCTTTAATTTTTTAATTTGTAAAGATATTTGTGTATTGCTTTACATCCTGTTAAGCAATGTGTAAGCGTTTGGACCTGCATAGGTGTATAACTAACACTCTCTATGCTGGACTTTAGAGCAGCTTTTAGTTAGTCAATTGAGCAGTAAGTTGGGTTTTTTTAAGCAATAGCCATATTAATAAAGGCTTTTTTATCTTTTTACTTACTTTTCAAGTGCCTTGGAATTTTTATATACTTTTTTCACATTTTCTCTTTATTTTGTCATAATTTAAATTGGGTAAAAAATGTGCTCCAGTACAAAATTAAATTAAAAGTAATTTTACATACGCAAAGAAATTGTTTACTAAAAAATACACATTAAACTGATTCTTATCTGTCCTTGTTAAAACCTACAAAAACATATTTTAAGAACTAAATGTAATAACAACTGTTAACATTATACTTAACAAACCCTGAAAAAGGTAGCATTATCCCCAAAAAAATTATACACATTGATGATAATGATGATAATTATAATAATAATAATAAAATCCTCAAAAGCAAACGTATCTTATTTGAATGATTTCTGAAAGATCCCAATTGAAGCTTAATGTAATGCAGTGATGAAGTATCATTTACGTAAAATGATTTGAAAAAGAAAACATTTGCTTTGAATTGAAAAAAAAAAATCACAATATTCTTTTAAAACTCGTGATGTGCCCAATCTTATGAATGACAGTGCAAGTGTGTGATACCCTCATTTGTAAACTCACCCATAAAGGATCCGGTGCTGCAGATGAGACTGAAGAAGCAGCTCTCTGGAGGAAGAGTCCCGCATTTACTGCAGATTAGAACAGCAGAGTAGAGGTTAGAAGCTCACGGTTCACACCACATTAATAAACACACACACATACACACACATACACACACATAAACACACACATACAATCCAAAGCAAAACTCCCGAGGGATGAATTCCCATTGGCAGCTGACTAAAATAGGCCCGTCTGGGAGCTCGCTGGATTATTGGGGGGAAAGAGAGACTGAGGTAGAAGAGGGCTTGAGGGCCCTTAGCCTTTCTTACACAGCTGTTACCATGTATGTGAAATGACAAAAGATAACCAAAGATAGGGCCTCCAAGTAAGAAAGATTGTGCAAGCATCTCTCCATGAAAGGAAATCTTCAGGTGATCTTCACTGAAGAGCGTTTCAGCTTTGTATAACATGTCACTGTGGTATGAAGCTGTTAAAAAGGGAGGTGCGACTGTAAAGATATGGTTTAAACAAAGTTTATTTGCAGCCAATCAGCCAAAGACTGCAGCGCATTTTTGATTCTTACTGAGCATTAAACTGATTGTTCATCCAAAAAAATAAAATTCTTAATTGAAAATGTTGTGGATCTCAACAGTTTTTTTTACCATTTTGGATTAAACTGAGGGAGCCAATAATTCAATAATTTATTTTAAAGGTCCCATGAAATCAAAATAAAGTTTTTTAGATGTTAGTAGTATCAGTATTGTTAGTTTTTAAGATATCTATAAGCTGGTGTGCTCCAACATAGTGACAAAATTTGCGTTTAGAAGATATAAATCTCATATCAGCATGTGAAGCTTGTAATTTTAAATAAGTTTCATTAGCGTCACCTCATACTTGTAGTTTCTCATTAAATCATAACCAATTAAATGCTCTCTAGCATCTGACATGCCCCACCCCCTTCAAGACGCTTCACATTTGCTTTTCATTTGACTCGAGTGAGAGTGGTTGAGCTCAACCAATCTCACTGGCAGAGCTGTGATAAAACAAACACTATTGTTTTTTGTTGCTGTTGTTGTTTTAAAAGTGGAGGAGCTACGGCCCACCCTCTCTTTGTGTTTTGGTTGAGATTACCTCAAACATTAAATAAAAATACATATTTCAAAGCAATGCACAGGATATTTAAGGTCCCATTAACACTAATACGTTTTAGTTTTAAAACACATACGTTTTTCTATGGTTACACCTTTGCTAACCCGGTGTTTTGAAGCCCCAAAAATGGAGCGTTTTGAAAACACTGAAGAGGCCATTTTGGTTTTAAAAACAATGAGACATCTGAAAACTGAGGCAGACAAAATGGCTGCAAACATTGGATATTGTTTGATATGGAAAACAAAATCCAAAGAAGACCTCGGGTAAATCTTCAAAGGGAACAGTGTACTTTATAACAGTATTCACATAACCCTTCAGGCTATGTTGTTTCACTATATTAACAATAAAATGAAAACATTTTGATATTAACAACTTAACAGACACCAAAAATGTTGAGGCATTGTGTAGCTACATACACTGTATTTATATGACTTCCATCTTCACTGTCCGCATATTTATAGCAAAACGGAGCCTATAACATAACTGCCTCCTTTCACTTTCAGTGAAAAATATAAAACACACCCTGTCTCTTTTGCTGAATATCAGTTTTAATAATCAATAATGGGCATAATAAGAGTATAACGTACAATACGTTTATAGGAAATAAAGATAGAATTAAAGTTAGATAGAATTAGATAAATTACATATCACATTTAACAACTACAGTGAGATGAGATCCAGATTCTTGATGAAATGTCACCTGGGAAGGTGTGCTCAATGCACCCACTGACTGCCTGGAGCTCAGACGTGTGCCTATGCTGCAGCTCATGCCAGAGAGTGTTTGGTCATGTGATGTGCATTTTTAGCGGTTTAGTGTGGACAGAGATCTTTATAGTACCGGTAGATGAAACTCCAGTGTGGACGTGGATTGTTTTCGTTCTGAAACAGTTTTAATACTAACGCGTATTGCAAATGGTGCCTCAGAGACAGTCACTTGCTTCATTTCTAAATGAATCAGCTGTTTTGAATGAATTGTCTGAATAAACGAACGACTGAATGAATGAATGAATAAATTAATGAATGAATGAACGAACAAACGAATGAACAAACGAATGAATTAATTAATTAATTAATGAACGAATGAATGGACGAATAAATTTATGAATGCATGAATGAATAAATGAATGAATGAATGAATGAATGAATGAATGAATGAATGAATGAATGAATGAACGAACGAACGAACAAATGAATGAATTAATGAATGAACGAACGAACTAATGAATGAACAAATAAATGAATAAACAAATGAATGAATAAATGAATGAATGAATGAATGAATGAATGAATGAATGAATGAATGAATGAATGAATGAATGAATGATTCATTATGACTTGCTTTGGTGTCGAATTTATAAATCCAAGTGGTCTACCAGCATAAAAACACGCTCAGCAAAGTATTGTTTATAATTGTTTTGAAATATGCCAAAAATGCTAGATTTATTGTAGATATTGCAAAATTTTGCCTTTAAAAAGGATTTTAAAAAAGATTCATTATATTCATGTGCTTTTTACAAGAATTTCAAAAGTGGGTTATTCTCATGAACTAAAACAAAAAGTATAAAACTAAAACATTCCAACCCAGACTCATTCTGATTATGTACCCCTATATACATATCTGGAGAATGCAAAATATGTCCCAGGAGCTACTTTTATTGTAGTTTTTGTCGAATTTACCAGAGGCCGCTGTGTACTTTTTTTTTTTTCTCTCGTGATTGCTATTCACGTCTGCTGTTCACATGTAAATCCACCAGAGGCCTCTGTTGACTGACTGACTGACTGACCAACCGACCGGTCCCTTCACCCTCCCCCTTCCCTAAACTCAACCGCAGGGTTTTGAAAAGCAATCCAGAAAAAGAAAAGGCCCCTGATTTTTATTACATTTTAAAATTCTCACTCTGTAATTTACTTGTTCATTTTATTTTTTGGCTTCTGTTTTAGTCTTACCTGTTTTCTGGAACCGTTCTTTACCTGACTCAAACCCTTTCGTCTCAGTCAACTACCCTCTGTATCTCAAGTCCACCAACATACATGTCAAGCTACCGGACAAACTGGTAAAGGCAGAAAAGCCATCCACATGCAGTTAAGAGGTCAGCTTGTAAACGTGAAAAGTTACGGCGTCATAGCTCATTTTAAAGTTGAAATGCAGCCCTATGTAGCTTTGGCTACATAATTTGCGATCTCCAGAAACGTATATACGGGCTACATTTTCAGAATGAGTCTAAGTTGAACAACTCATTCACTCATTTTCCTTCAGCTTAGTCCCTTTATTCATTACGGGTCACCACAGTGGAATGAAGTGCAAATGTATCTAGCATATGTTCACAGCAGATACCCTTCCACAACCAAGTACTGGGAAACATCCATACACATCCATTTGGGACTTGAACTAGTGACAGTCTTGCAGTGAGACAACAGTGCTAACTACAAAGCCACTATGTCACCCACTAAAAAAATTTGTAAGTAAATAAAATATGACATTGACACTATGAAAAACATGCATGAAGAATAAAAAAATAATTGTGTAACAAAAAGGAACATTTAATGCCAAACCCAAAGCCATGTTCTCCTGAAAAGCCTTCATTTCTAAAAACTCCTTGAAGCAAACTCAACTGCCCTAAACCATATTGTGAGTCTCTGCTAAATGAGCCTCGACTGGATTACATGTAGCTATTCCTTCTATAAATACATCACTGAGGTGTTAAGCTCTATAATGATAAGCTAGAAATGTGTACGCCATTCCAAGATTGTGTGAGTGCGCAATTTTTTAACCTTTCACCCACTTCAGAGCACCTCTAAGAGCTGTAGACTACGGTGGGTAGCAGTCAAAATAAACCCATGCACACACACACACACACACACACACTCTCTCTGCTGGTAGTGAAAATGCAGATTACAGACACACCCAAAGGCAAACATAAATAAGACTTAACTTATAACTTGAGCTCACACACTCCATAAAGCACACAGCTCTGAAGGCAATGGAGACAGACGCTCTATTGAGCAGCTCAGGTCAAAGATCTTGTAAATTATTCCACGTTCTGCAGTTTTGCACTTTGATGATGAAACACAGTCAAATTAGAAAACAATGTGTTTGAGGACAAAACTACAACTACAATTCTGAAAATGTGAGGAACATTTTGTAAAATGCAAGGCAGTGCTTCCCACAGGTTTGAAATATACTTTTGGTGGTAGCTGGGATGAAACACACCATTTACCCACAGCACATAAATAGTTAACTATATGCGATAAACAAAACAATAAAATTTTTAAGAATTATTTATTTATTATGACACTGTTATGCACTAGAATGTAGTTGTAGTTGTTTTAAACTCGAATCAGCAGTTTATTTATGAAAATAGTGAGTCTTTGGTGATGTGCCTAAGCTTATGCGGACTCTGACCCCTAGCTTGTCAGCGGTATCTTCGTCATCACCTCCCCCGCCGAGAGCAGCTTTACATCGACCAGTGCATCATGGATGTACCACTGAGTTGCATCTATCCATTGTAGTTAAAACATGATATTTAATACATTTTATGCAAATCTAATGAACAGTTTTTGGTCTTATAAATCTATTATTTGTTTTCAGGTGTATTATTTTGTCAGTGTTATTTTATGTTTTATAATTGTCTTTAAATATGTTACATGTTGTACAAGGTTTGTCTTTGTTTACCAAAATGCTTAACGTTGTATTTATTTCTTATTGTGTACATCTTGTCCTGTATACTTGTATAATGTCCATTGCCATTTATTAAATCTGATAATCAAAGACACGAGTCTGTGTATAGTAACCCATTACACTTCACATTTATGGTGATTTATGTTTTCTTAAATCAAATGTATAGATTTATAATATCAATATAATATTAATTATAAGGCAATGCTTTATATAATTAAATCATTTTATTGTTAATGTACAGTGAAACCGATTAATTCATGATGAGGTAAGTGACGTTATAAAGTACACTGCCATTCCATTTGAACAAGTACCTGACTTGTGTCCTCGGTAATTCGACCTTTTAAGTCTGAACTTACAAGATGCAAGTCCGAACTTTGCGTAATTAATATTGAGAATCAGCCTATAGAATACACAAGACATGTCACTCGTATACTTTTGAATATGGAAAAGTGTAACTGTCAATATGGCGAATGAAGCCCCGCCTTCTAGTACAGGAGCCAATCGTTATAGAATGACGATACTCCGGGGGAGAGGCTCGAACCAGACGTGAGTTTCTGCAGATTTTAGTGTGATATGATCATTCAGAATTGAATCTAAATAGACAGTTGTCGTAATATGTAATGTAATCGTAATCTTGGAAAATTTAAGTTTCCTCATTCAAACAGAATGCTTGTGTATACGGCCTGAGAGGCATTTCAAAGATGCCCACCAAGTGAAATGACTTGCCTTAAAGGGACTTTGACTGTAATTAATGTAATCAAGTACTTCTATTGTAGTTGAAGACAAAAAAATAAAATTGTAATTAACATATTGTATCACAAAATGTATTTAAAACAGATATTTAAAAGATGACTATACATTGCGTTGTTATACATTGTTATTATATTGGATATGATAACAATGAATAATAAAAATACTGTTGTACATGATCTCGTCACTTGTTCGGAATTTATTAAATTCAAAAGTAAAAAATGCAGTACTGTCATACTGTAAATTTAAAATGTGATAAAGGCCGTTTTACCACAAAAAAAAAAAAAAAAGTTGCGGTAAAGCCGAATTTCCATTGCACACAACAAACGACAAGCGACAGATTGGAAGTCATTCATTTACAATAGTGAGTCCGGGAGCTGAGTGGAGTTATGATCATCTTGGTATTCGGAAAATTTGGATCTGATTTGAGCTGCGGATACGTTGAAATATTTGCACGTGCACGTGAGATGAGAAACAGTAGTTTTTTTCTGTATTTTTTGTTTTTCTTTTCATAAATGAGTAATAAAAAATATTTTTTTTTTATGTTGTCTCCACATTCCCTCCAAAATTTTTAGTGGTGTATGACTTTCTAGTATTCATTCATTCAATCATGGTGAACGCACAGAGAAAAAAGGCTTTTGCACTCCTTTATTTCGGACACTGCAAGAACTGCAAATGTCGTGAGCAGTGGAGAGGCTTAAAGCTAGATTTATACTTTTGCCTGGCGCCGCATCGAGCACCTCCTCTGACTGTGCGTTTACCTTAAGAAACGAACGAGGCTTTTTTTACTTGTTACGTTCGCCGTTGTGATATTCTTAAAACCAACAGTGGGCGGTCAAAAAAAATAGACAGTAAAGTTAACAAATAAACTGAGAAGTAAAAAGTTTCCGGAACTACGTCATATCATTAATAACATTCTAGATTTTTAAACTAATAATTTTTATTATTTTTAAAAATTATTTTAAAGATTATAAGGATTTTTATTACCATTCAAGCTTTTGTTCATATCTCGGACAGTTCTACCTATTAAAGTTTGTTAAAATATTAATGACAACAGAACATGGGTTGCTTTGAAATATATTTTTTATTGTGGCAAGAATATAAACAAAAAAGGTCCACTAAAAAATACAGATTTATTTTTTTTTTAGATTTAGCCCGCTAAATTAACACATTACTGTCTGGCTGGTTTCTGTCATCTACTTATGCTAAAATGGCAATAATAGGAACTAGGAACGCCAGCTGAAATCATGTTGCACGTTGCAATCGTGAAATGCATGTTGCACCCAAAGCGAACCTCAGAAAACACATCGATGATGTCACATTCGCCGCGCACACTCAAGCGAACTAGTGGACGCGTCAAGTATAAACCAGGTTTCACTTTTTACTGTTAATAAATCGCAGTAGGGCCCTGCTACTGTAAAACACATTTACAGGTAAGATACTGTAAAGGGGCAGTTGTGATAAATTGCTGGCAGCAAGTGCTGCCAGTAAGTTACCACAAAAATACTATATAATGTCTAACAGTGTACATTACTATATATTGTATAACTAAATGTTATATAGTTGAAGTCAAAAATTATTAGCTCCCCCTAAATTTTTATTTCTTTTTTAAATATTTCCCAAATTATGTTTAACAAAGCAAAGAAATTTTTGCAGTATGTCTGATAATGTTTTTTTCTTCTGTAGAAAGTCTTATTTGTTTTATTTTTCAATAATAGCTTTAAGCTATATTTTTCGATAGTCTACAGAAAAAACTTTATACAATAACTTGCCTAAGTACCCTATCCTGCCTAGTTAACCTAATGAACCTAGTTAAGCCTTTAAATGACACTTTAAGCTGTATAGAAGTATCTTAAAAATATCTAGTAAAATATGATGTGCTGTCATCATGGCAAAGATAAAATAAATCAGTTATTAGAAATGAGTTATTAAAACTATTATGTTTAGAAATGTGTTGAAAAAAATCTTCTCTTCGTTAAATAGAAATTGGGGAAAAAAATAAACAGGGCGTTAATACCTCTGACTTCAGATGTATACTGTCCACCCAAGGCACAACACCTTAACACTTTCTGATTTTGACTGTAATTTAATGCGTGCACCTTTTGTAAAGCTGCTTTGGAACAATAACTAATGTGGATAGTGCTATACAAATAAACTTGATTGAATTGAATTAAATAGTAGTTGGAGTTTTTATTAGGTAGGACTAGGAATGTAGAATAAGATCATGCAGAATATGTATTTTACAAGTACTAATAAGCATACAACATCTTTATAACAGGCAGTTAATAACACAGTAGTTAATAGTGAAAATTGGTACCTAAATAATTAGTAAGTTACTGCAAATTCTTAAAATACCAAAGTTTTTGAATTGTCATTACCTTATGAGAGGGACGTTGTCCAGAGTACAGCACAAGGTTGGTCCTCTCTGCATTACCAGATCCTCCTCACATGACTGGTTATACATCCTATAAACAAACAAACACAGACACTGCCATGTATAAATACATAAACACATACAGCATAAAGTTATAACAGAGACAAAGTGAGTCTTGCAGGTTTGTGGATGTTTAAGTTTGACTTCTTGCTCAATAATAATAGATAAAAATCAACTAGACCAGACCTCTGAACTGGATGACTAGATTTAAGGCCCCTTCACACAAAGAAAGATATTCATTTATTAATTCATTCATTCATTTTCCTCCGCTTTTCCAGAGCCGGGTCTCAGGGTCAGCAGTCTTAGGAAAAAAACCCAGACTTTCCTTTCCCCAGACACTTCTTCCAGCTTCTCGGGGAAGATACCCAGGCGTTCCCAGGCCAGTCGAGAGACATAGTCCCTCCAGCGTGTCCTCCGTCCTCCCTAAGGCCTCCTTCCGGTGGAACATGCCTGGAACACCTCCCTAGGTAGGTGTCCAGGAGGCATCCGAAATAGATGCCCAAGCCACCTCAGCTGACTTCTCTACTCTGAGCTCCTTCTGGGTGACAGAGCTCCTCACCCTATGAGGGTGCGCCCTGCCACCCTGCAAAGGAAACTCATTTAGGCTGCTTGTATCCGAGATCTTGTGCTTTAGGTCATGACCCAAAGCTCATGACCATAGGTGAGAGTAGAAATTTATATTGACCGGTAAATCGTCAGCTTTGCCTGCAGGCTCAGCTCCTTCTTTACCACAATGGACCGATACATCGACCACATTACTGCTGCTGCTGCACCAATCCACCACCACAAAGAAAGATAACTATGAAAAAATATATAACCATGATGGTCCCACTTATATTTTAAAGAACATTCTCACTATTAACAAATCATTAACTATGACTTATCTTAATAAACGCATAATTTGCTGCATATTAATTGGTATAAAGGTGTTGTTTTTGTTTTGGCATTACGGTATTTGTTAAGATTAAAGACAAGGAAAAAGATCATGCAGAAAATGTACTTTAATAATGCTAATAAGCAGGTAAAAGCCATTAGTTATTGACAGTTAGAATTGGACCCTATACTAAAGTGTTACCACAGTAGCTACAATAGCAAGTATACCATTTTAAATGTTCGAGAAGGAAAGATTCTTTTTTTCATTTATTAATTTAGAGAATTAGCTCAATGTTAGTGTTCCTCTTTTTTCATTGTAGTTGTGATTTGGAGTCTGCTATTCTTTTAAATTTAGAGGAATTTTAAATCCACGTCTTTGACAATAAAGTTATTAACCTTGGTAGAAGTTTGCAAAATAAGTTGTTAATAATGTTTTAACAATGTGCGAGCTAACTTTAGCATAAATGTCAATCATAGATCATCATTAGACTGATACTATGGGTTATCTGTTATATTAATTACATTGTTTCTCATGTGGACGTCTGGACAAGTTAAATCTCTATAGCTTCTCGCATGCGTTCAGATGAGGATAATTTCATGATGGAAGTCTTACTTTGTAATCCCACGTCTCACATGATCATTCATGTGCTCAGTCAGATGTTAGTGTTTATATGTGGGATCCTCAAAAATGGCCTGTAAGATCCACTTTTCTGCAGTTTAGCTGTAACCCTGATCAAGCTCATAGATTTACATGATTAATACTGTTAAAAAGTGTTAACACTGTTACTGTTTAAAGCTAATACTGTAAACATTTTAGACGCAATACTGTCTTTTTTTGTCTCGTTTTGTCAGAAAAAAGTTCTAAACAAATCCGAAGCAGAATATTTGTGCATTTCAGAGCAAGACTGCGATGTTGAATGTCTTATAGAATCTGTTTTTTTAAAGGAGTGGTCCACTACATATTTACACTTTAGTTGATGTGTAATGTAGCTGTGTGAATATAAACAAAATCTCTGAAAGATGCTCAAAGTTCAATACAAAGGGAGATGTTGGCTTTTACAGTGCAAAGCCTACAGGCAACAAAGTTTAAGGAGTACAAAAAAGCAAAGAGCATAGAATCATCAAGAGGCCGCACTCTGTTGCTATTTGGGAAACAGCCACTAGATGCCGCTAGTGTCGAGCAGCGACCATTATGGAATGAAAATTCCAATAGAACAGCACTGATAACTAACATTAAACAGAATGAACAAAAATTTTGAATTAAATACAAGTTAAGATATTATATATTTATCCACCCCCATTGAAAAGCAACATTTAAAACAATATCTCAATGAAAAGAAAACAATTTCCAAAATACTGACAAGACTAAGTTTAATATATCTGTTTAACTTATAAAAGTTAAGGTAACAAAATAACTTAAATTACAATTTTTTAAAAGTTTTACTTAAATTAGGGTGATTCAAAAATGAGTATTAAACATATCTTTTCTATTCTTCAATTATGACCCCTCTTTTAGAGTTGCTCAAAGAGATACTCAACGTGATGTCTCTTCAGAATTCCCCATTTGTGTTTAAGTGGAATCAGATTAGGAGACATATTTATAATAATATCACCATAGATGTGTATGTGTGTGTATATATGATGAATTTATGTGTCAGAATTCAATCACATTGGACAAAGTAGCTTTTGGCATAAAAATGTATTATTATAAAAATAAAAAAATACTATATACAATTATAACATAATACAGCAAAAAAAGTGTACTGTCAGACTATCAACATCCCATTTTGAAAGTCATGTTAATTTAATTGACCATGTCAGTATTCGGGGAGCGCGTGGCACAAAGTAGCGCAGGGTAAAATGTAACAGAGTTTTAAGGTGTTTGCTCAGGGTTAATCATGGCATGCTTCCGGAGTTTTCACCACTTTCCTGCCAATTATTGAAAAAGTTCAGCGAAATTTGGATGAGAAACACAGGTGAAACTATTTTTGCAGCATAAAAGTATTTTTTATTATGGTCAATATAATTTTATTTTTTGAAAAATCTGTGGAAGTATGCTAGTGAAATTTTATATTGTTGTGATCATCGTCTTCTAGGCTAAAATATAAAAACCATTTTGAAAGATGTAAAAAACCACCACATCAATTAAACCAAAAAAATAATTTTAAAATTTTAAGTATAATGTTGAGAACTTTTAAATAAAATGATTTTTAATATAATTTTTTTGTGTTTAAAAATTAAAAAATGTATATATTTTATTGCTAATACTGCAAATAAATGCATAATGGATAATAATACAAATAAATTCAAATGTGTTTACCCAATAAATAAATAAGCATGCTGTGCTATGTAGAATTAAAAATAAATTGAGCAAGGTACTGAGAAAATTTAGCTACTATTTAAAGTAAGCTAAATTTAAACTAAATTTAAATTTAAACTAAATTTAATTTAAACTAAATTTGTGTGAAATCTGCCTTTTTAAACGTGTTACAACTAACTCTCGTTCTGTTACAGCTTGCGACATTGTTGTGGGGTAAATAGTCAAATTTTTATTGCACAGAAATCATAGGTCCGGCGATCATACTTTCAGTGCTCATTTGTAGGCTTGTGTTTTGTTGGTAAAAAACAAATTGTCTGACTAACCCGATTACTTTGTTTATTATTTGACCAAAACCAGAAAGTTACTTTGTGCCCCACTTTCCCCTATAATTTAGATTATGCCAGTGTGTAAACTATTAAATTAAAGTAATTTAAAGTAATTTCACCTATAATTGACATTTCCAAGTAAATAATTACAATTAAAATATAAACATTAATTCTGTAAAATAAACTATTAAAAGCGCTGATGATCATGATAGTAAGTGTTGTATTGTCATTTTCCAGATTCTATTTCAGCTTTATTATGCTTTTAAAATAAATAAATAAAAAATAAACAAAGCAGCTGCTTGCCATCACGACAACAATAAGATCTAATGGATGGACAATCGCTTTCAATCCAAAATGGCGGAATCACGAGGCTGATGCTTGGCGCTGCTGTCGCAATGGAACGTTCTATTCAGAGTCAAAGCTTGGTAATTCTAAGCTCTTTGCCATAAGCATACACCCCGCACAGCAAAATGGCGTGGCCAGAGGCGCTGCAATACTATAATGTAGCAGAGAAAGCTAATAGAGCTTTTCCACAGAGCTTGTTCTTTTTCTGTGTTCGGGCTTCTAAAGGACACGACACAAAGACAGAAGTGGTTACAGTTTTATTTTAATTATGTTCCAGAGAATTATTTAAAAATATACAGCTAGCATTTGACAAAGGACAGCTTTCAGAATCTCTCGTAGTTCAGTGCTTAATTCGACTAAAATCTCCTCCAACCGACAAAAAAGCTGTGGATTGTGAGCCACAACCTGTATTTTTATTTGTTGAAATTGATCTATTACATGCAGAGTTACTAACATTAACTGTATGTTGTAGGGAGGACATAAACAAGTATGTAAACAATGGGAAGTTTACGTATTGTTTCAGTGCAAAAGAGCATGCTTAAAAGCGTGTGATGTTTTTTGTGGTGCCGTGGAACCGATCCACAAATCACAGAACATTATGTGTATCTGACCAATCAGAGTCCTTGGTGTGAACTGGCCTTATATCTCAGAAAGGTGCTTTTGACAGCCCCCATAACTTCAATTCATACTCCACCATGCAGAACTCCGGGCAAACATAATGTGGCTACACTCATTACTAAAGCAAACACACCCCGCACTACAGCGCTAACACTCCTCCTACCAAGGGGAAAAAAACAGAAGAAAGACCACTGTTGTTTCCAGAGTGTAAAAATTACACAGGAATGCAAAGCACTCAGAAAAGGTAAAAGCAGCCTGTGGGTTCTGTTTCATTAAACACACTGAATTTGATCTTGTTTGCTCAGCCTCAGCTCCACTATGCGCAGTTAGCAAAGAAATGCTTTATTTGCTCTACACATGAAAGATAGTTATTTTTCTGTGAATTTCTGAGACAGTTTATTCCACATATAAATGATGAGACAGACTCACACACTGATGCCATTATTCCTGCTTTAATAATTAAGGCACAGTGTGGTTCCTCCCCAAAGCTAGACAGCAGTGCTAACATTTAAGACAGACACTTCACAGACACCGTCATATGCTAATGTT